GTGTAAATTGATAACTCAAGTACCTGAGAAACTAAAGGAATGCAATTTTAAGAGGGATATACCCCGTCCACCTAAGTTTCATTCAGCCCGAACCCAGCTGTCAGGTATGCCTGGTAAACGTGCACGGGCCCGTGAAAATTTTGTCCCAGTAAGTTGCTAACTCAGGTGCCAGGGAAGCTAGAAGGTTGAAATTTTAAAAATTTTGTTCCAGTAAGTTGCTAACTCAGGGGCCACGGAAGGCTAGAGAGCTGAAATTTAGAGGGGTTGTTTCTGACAGTTCTGGTGGCCAGTCTTAATTTGTTCAGCTAGAAGCATTTGCCGAAAAAACCACAAAAACTGCGGGGAACCATGCAAAAAACGCATCTTCGCACGGGCAGCCCGTGCGTTGGCCAATTATTTATTCTGACAGTGAGGGGAGCAAATGCAACGGTTTAGAAGATCTTGCTCGTACAGTACACCCTTTTAAGTTATGGGCTAAACAACAATGTCGAGTTGACACAAACAACACTGCGCTATCTGATCACCTCGGGCTACATTGCAACTTTCGGCAAAAACGAAACAGGCAGCCGGTAAGATAAGCTTTCAGTATTTTACAGGTGGCAACAGCAAGCCCATTTTTCATGCACCAATGGATTGATTGGTTTGGGTGGTGAATTGGCACTGATCCAGCTAGGCCAATAGTTGTGTTGGTTTTCAATTTGTTGCTTAGGTATTCCCCCAAGAAATAAACGGTCGGCGACTTAGCCAACCGACAGTTGCTGCTGGCAGAGCTGCAATAGATTGTACTGAAAAGCGTGCACGCGCTTGTTTTTGTAAGGGAGTTACGTGGAAAAGTAAGAAATTACTTTGAAAGGATAGAGGAACTTTCCCTTACGGACCATTCTTTGGCTCCATGCGGGATTTACGTAGATTCAGTCCTGTGTGTGGATTAGTACTTTGCCTAGATTTGTGCAAGAACAGTTTACGAAGAGCTCGCGTAGTGTACGCCAGTTAATGCTCGATTACCTCTTCAATAATGGTGGTTTCGACTGGTTTTACAACGACGCGCACGGGAACTATATCCTGCAGGTGGGCTTTATCATATTTCTTCAGCGCAAAGAAAGAGGATCTCTTCTCAACAGCCATAGCTGGAGTTAATTGCAGAAAATTGCGGCGGATGCGTTGCCGGGCATGGAGCAGAGTCGATACACAAATTTTGTATCCAATAAGGTGGTTAGAATGTGCTCAAATCGCTACGGAAGCAGAATTATGCAAAAAATTTTTGAGCGATTTGAGTATGCGCACCGAATACATCTACTGTATAAAATCTGTGGCTCCGAATGTCTTCTTGCTGTTGACAGCTCCGCAACTCACGTCCTGCAGGTAAGTCTTAAAATTATAGTTGTGCTCATATTTGATACCCCGCAAGGGTAGTGGTTTTCGTTAAAGTTCGTAGTACAAAACAAATATTCCAAATAGCTGCTATATTATTATGCATTTTGTGCTGTGTAACAGCAGTACAAAATGCATATTGTCACGAGGTTGTCTGTGCGTGTGTCCGCAGCAACTTGCCCGTAACTTTCAACTCGGGAACCATAAAAGCCAGGAAGCTGAAAATTTAGGGAAGCATTCCCCACCCACGTGTGACCCAGCAAATTTAAGTTCAGCTTCGCCGTACCCGCGAGTAACACGTATGGCCCGTGAAAGTTTTTTATGGGTAAATTAATATCTCGGGAACCACGGAGTCTAGGAGGCTGAAATTT